AGGTTTACACATGTCACGACTTCTATGGAAATGGTAGCAGTTTGTGGCGAGGAACATCCCGGCGGTATCCGGCCGCCGTTCTGGACGCAGTAGTCGCAGAGGCCCTTGTGCATGTTCATCCTTGCCCATCTTTACAACGCTTCGAGAGGTTGTGCAAGGGTTCCATAATGGGCTAGGGTTTAGGGTTTAGGGTCGATATGGGTTCTAATTATATGAATTCCGTAAGGGTGCACGTTCATCCTGGCAGGGTTTAGGGGCTTGGGCCGCTTGGGGTTTAGGGTCCATGGACACGTTTAAACAGGTCCCGTAAGGTCTTATACATCTTATACGGCTTGATCCGAAAGACTTGCTGGAACAAGTTCAACAAGGGTCATGTATATATATATATATACATACATACATACATACATATACATGCATAACTTCTACAAGTATACTGTATTAAAACATGTGTGTGTGTATATATATATACACACATACACCGAGATGGACAGCTCCATGAGGGTTCTAAGAGGGTTCTGTAAGGGTTCTATAAGAGTTCTGTAAGGGTGTAGATTCTGCCGTGTTTAAAAGGTTTTGCCAGGATAGTCCAGCGGCATTAATATGTGCATGTTCATCCTTGCCAAGGGTCTAAGGTTTGGCAGTTTGGGGGTTAGGGTCCATGGTGCAGTCCAACACGGTATGGCAAGGAGCTTTATTGCAAGGGCTCGACGTTGTTTACGCATTCCTAGACCCTAAACCCTAAAACCCTAAAACCCTAAACCCCTAAACCCCTAAACCCTAAACCCCTAAACCCCATGTTGATGTGATGAGCTCTGGGAGGCTCTAGCACCTCGCTTTAAAGCCTCTCGGCTTCCAAGGCCACAGCATAGCATCCGAGGCTTTGGCGTTTGGGGTTCAGGGTGTTTTAAGCAAGACTGGACAGTGTGTGCGTTTAGCGAAGTGCAGGCGAGATGAAGGAGTTATTGTTACGGTGTCCTCTTGGGTCTTCTTTGCCTCTTCTAAGGGACAATAGGAGGGACCCCAAGAAGGGATCCCTAATCCAAATACCCTATATAACCCTGATATACCCCTTATATGGTCTCATAAAGCGCCTATATCACCCCAAGGGTCCCTTTACCCTAAACCCTAGACCCTAAACTCTAAACCGAAAAACCCTAAACCCCCATAACCCCAAGAGTCCCTCCTTTAGTTCCTTGACTCTTGACGTCCTATGTCCTTCTGGGAAGGCGGTGTCTATGCTTACAGTTGAGGGGCTCAAGGTGCACAGTTTAGGGAACGAAGATCCCAAAGCCTTGCCCTAGAGGTTTAGGGTTTAGGGTTTAGAGTTTAGAAGCACCTGATATGAAGATCCCAAAGCCTTGCTCCCGAGAGGTTTAGGGTTTAGAGTTTAGGGTTTATAGGGTTTAGGGTTTAGGATACTGACCATCTACTCTCCCGGACACTAACCTTCATGACTACCATCGGAAACCCGAGCAGCTAACTATTGGATCCTTTGGACACTTCGGGGTCGCCCATACTCGGAAGACAGGCTGAACCCTAAACCCTGAATGCCCAATCCACCGAGACCCTCATCCCAAAAAAGCATGTAAAGCCAGGGAGCCCAACACCCCATTCTCCAACCCTAAGCCCTAAGCCCTAATTAAACCCTAAACCCCTAAACCCTAAAGCCTAAACCGTTATATTGGGGCTTTATGGGGGTCTTAGTGTTACGTTATCAACGTAAAGCAGGGTTTAGGTTCCCTCCTTACTTGGAGGTTCATGGTGCCTGCATTGCGGAACTTGGGGTCTAGCATTCGGGAGACCCCTTAAAGGGCTTAGGGTTTAGGGGTTTAGGGTTTAGGGATTTAGGGTTTTAGGGTTTAGAGGTTTAGGGTTTAGGGGTTTAGGGTTTAAGGATTCAGGGCTTATAGTTTTTGGGCTACTTATGTTTCGCTTGAAAGGGACCTAATCGAGAGGGTCTATATCCCCAAGGGTCCCCCTAATCCTAACTCCTAAAACTACAGCGGTACGTAAGAGACACTAGTCCTACAACCTACATGATTACTTGGAGGTTCATGGGTGGTTATAAGTGGAGTTATAAGTCCCCTAATATAGGTTATATCTATAGATACCCTACTTATAACTCTACTTATAACTACCCATGAACTGCCAAGTAGGTTTCTTCTACAGGTATCACGAAGGTAGTTTTCTAAATTAGGGTCCCCTTTTAGATCCCCAAAATAGTACGGCACCCTTATGAAAGGGCCCCTAAAAGGGATCCTAATTTAGAGAACTACCCATGAGGTCACAAGTAACTACTCGATGCCTCAGGGCAAAGCCGCTTTAGCCTTAGTAGTCGCTTATGGGTCAAAAATGTACGTACATTGATGAGGCACCCTCTTAGTTTGAGATGAGTGTCTTCTAGAAAAATTTGAAAAAGGCCCCTAAACCCTACAACATGCCTTAAAACAAAAGGGCCCGCTAAGAACTCTGGAACCTGTAATCTTGTCTTTCAACTTGACCATCGGCCCAACAGAACCAAACGATGAAGGATGCTGCCAAGTTGCAAGTCGAACAAGAATGCAGGGCCTCGGCTTCGGCTTCGGCAAGCCACTACTCATAGTAAACCCCAAAAAGTTGGAAGCCGGATTAAAGAGAAATGGTGCTGGGATTTCCTATACAGTACTCTTAAGGATTCAGGCTATGGGGTTTACAACTTTGGGCTTCTACTATATATATATATACATATATATATATGTATGTATGCATATATATATATACTATTATTATTATTTTTTTCTTATTATTCTTATTGTTATATTATTATTATCTTAATATTATTGTTATATTGAATAAGGGCCCTGCTTGAACGAGCTTGAAGATCGGATCTTGGGGCCTTAGGCTGGTTTCAGGGTTTCAGGGCTTAGGGTACAGGTAGATTGCGATCTCTAAACCGCTAAGGGCCCATGTGTGTGTGTGTGTGTATATATATATATATACATACAGTCTGACGGTTTAGGGTTTAGGGTTTTAGGGTTTACGGTTAAGGGTTTAGGGGGTTACAGTCTATAGACTTTTAGCTCTACGGCACCTACTTAGGAAACCCTTTCTGGCCTAAGTATATTCTAAAGGGGTGCATGAACCCTTAGGGAAGGCTCAACTCTCCAAGTGGATCCGAGACAGAACACAATCACAAGATGCTGATCCCGCCTGAACCCTTTGCTGGTTTAGGATTTAGGGGTTAGGGGGTTTGGGGGTTTAGGGTTTATGGTGCTCTGATTCTTAAATTAGATTCATCTCAAACCCTGTATGATAAAGCCCTGATGCCCCAATCCGGCCAAATCTCGAAAGCCTTGATGGCCCCCAAACCCTAAACCCAAACCCCTAAACCCCTAAACCCTAAACCCTAAACCTAAACCCTAAACCGAACATTGATCCGCGTCTGAGCCCCCTTAAGACTTCCTAATCTGCACAGGCCTAAACCCCGAGACCCTTCAACATCCCCCCGAAGAGCAAACAAAAAGCCATATACCCTAACTAACCCCTGAGACCCCTACTACACCCGAAAGACCCCAAAGAGCCCCTAAAATCCCTTTAGCCCCCATGAGCCTAAGAGACCCGCAACCCTAAAACCTAAACCCCAAACCCTAAACCCCTATAAACCACAAACCTTTAAATCCTAAACCCCAAACCCGTAACCCTAAACCCCAAACCTTTAAACCCTAAACCTTTAAACCCTAAACCTTTAAACCCTAAACCCTTTGAAACCCCAAACCCTTTTAGACCCTAAACCTTTAAACCCTAGGCCCCCAACAAGCCTGCTCTCCGAAGAGCCCCCCCCGGAGCCTCTGAAGCCACAGTGCGCCTCCAGGTGCCCTAAGCCCTAATTCAAGGAAACGGTATATAGGGCTTTAGGGTTTAGGGTTTAGGGTCTAGGAACTAGGGTTTAGGGTTTAGGGTTTAGAGTTTAGGGTATATAGGGCTTCTATAAGGCTTCTATAAGGTACATAGACCTTCTATAAGGCTCCTATAACAGTAACTACCCACCTGAAAATGTCCTAAGCCCTAACCTCTAGACCCTAAGACCTAAACCCAAATCCCTAAAAGCAAACCCTAATCCTAAAACCCTAAGCCCTAAAAGCTAAGTCCTAACCCCCAAACCCTGATCCCTAAAAGCTAAATCCTAATCCCTACACCCTAAACCTCTATACCCTAATCCCTAAACCCTAAACCTCTAAACTCTTAACCTCTAAACCCCAATCCCTAAACCCCTAAACCCTAAACCCCTAAACCCTAAACCTCTAAACCTAAAAAACCCTCAATCCCAAGCCGGGAAACTGTCGGATGGAACAAACTCACCGGCAAGACCTGGGATCTCCGAAAGGCTCTGCAAAAAAAAGGGTTTAGGGCCTTTAGGGGTTTTAGGGTTTAGGGTTGAGTGTTTAGGGCCTTTAAGGGTTTTGGGGTTTAGGGTTGAGGGTTTGGGGTTTAAGGCGTTTAAGGGTTTTAGGGTTTTCCCTAAGGCTCATGGACCCCCATAGTGAAAGCCCATTTAAGGCCTCTTAAGGGTGTTAGGGCTTAGGGTTGAGGGCTTAGGGTTTAGGGCTTATGGTTTTAGGGTTTAGGGTTAAGGGTTTAGGGCTTTTAGGTTTTAGGGTTTGGGGTTGAGGGTTTAGGGTTTAAGGTGCCTTTATACGTGGAATCAGAATCCGTTTGAGGGATCTGCAAGGGGAGCTATGGGTCCTTAATATCTAGAATGGGGGTTCCTCTCAAGATTAAAGTACCAATAAAAAGGTTCTATTAGGTTTTGGTTCAGGGGCCTTTTCTTTGAGTAGGCTTCCTCTTAAGGGGTCTATTAAAGGTTACATATATTAGGGGCCTTCATAGTCTTAGAATGGAGCCTATATAGGGAGGTTTTCTAGTATAACGGCAACAGGAAATCCAAAGGCCGTAAGGAGTAGCCAGAGAGGTTTAGGGTGTGGGCATTCGGGTATACCCTAAACCCTAAACCCTAAACCAACCTGTCAAAAGACCCTTGTAAAGCTTCGCACAGCTTTCAAGGAGCTTGAGAGATGAGTTCCTGAAGCTCGGTTTTTAGGGTTTAGGGTTTAGGGAAAATGTCCCTATAGGCTCCATTCTAACACTATGAAGGCCCCTATGTAACCTTTATAGACCCCTTAAAAGGGAAACCTACTGAAAGTAGGTACACCCTAAAACCTAAACCCTAAACCCTAAACCCCAAACCCTGAACCCTAAACCCTAAACCCTAAACCCTAAACCCTAAACCCTAAACCCCTTAAAAGGGACCCAGGGCTTGGAGTTTAGAGGCTTCTGCTCTTGCGGTCGGGGCCGGGGCTTGGGGTTGAAGGAGCCACTACCCTAAACCCTAAAGTGATGGCTGACTCGAGGTAAGTAGGGTTTAGGGTTTAGGGTTTAGGGTTTAGGGTTTGTGGTTTAGGGTTTAGGGTTTGGGGTTTAGGGTTTGGGGTTTAGGGCTTTGGGTTTAGTCTTAATTGGCATCCATTTCGTCGCCAAGTGCCTCGCTTCGTGACAGTCCGCAAGCCCGATTTCATAAACCCGAACCCTAAACCCTAAAGCCTAAACCCGAAACCAACCAACCTAAACCGAGCCTTTGGCTTTTCAGGGTCTGACATTAGAGTGTCATGGTCCGCAGGCTTCGGTGCCAACTTTTGAAGAACTCCAGCATTGCAGGGAGTGCTGCGTACTTGGAGGTTCATGGGTAATTAAAACTGGAGTTAGAAGTCCCCAAGAAAGGCTATAGCCCTGTCAACCCTATAGAAACCCAAACCCTAAGGGTCCATGTACCAAACTAGTACATACTGCTGATGGACAAAATCCTGCATTACCCATAATAGGGAATATACCATAATTCCCATAGTTTTAAGGTCCTTAAGGTCATGCAGGAGTTTGTCCATCAACAGTAGGGACTACTTTCGGGCCAAAGTGGTACATGGACCCTTACGGTAAACCCTAAACCCAGTTGGCCGGTTCGGGCGTTGGAGGCTTTGGGGTTTATGGTTCCGTGCCTCCTTTCAGTGTCCTTTAAGGTCCGTGTGAACCTTCAAAGGATTCCTTTGAGGTGTTTCTGTATGGGTTCTTCTCAGGGATTTCATGGCGGTTTTATAGTAGTTTATAGAGCTTCCACGGTTTCATGTATTTCGATTGCATATACTTATGCCTTTCTGACAGGGTTTCCTACACACAACCTCGAAAAAGCGGCACCCCAAAAGCCTAAACTCCTTACCGAACCCTTGAAGGAATCATAAAGGAACCGAAACCCAGTTTGCCGAACCCTAAACCCCTAAACCCCTGTATAAACCCGAAGCCCTAACCCCTAAACCCTTAACCCTAAACCCCTAACCCCTGAACCCCTAACCCCTAAACCCTTAACCCCGAAACCCCTTAAACCCTAAACCCTTAACCCCTAAACCCTAAACCCCTAACCCCTCAACCCCTTAACCCCTTGAACCCTAAACCCCTACACCCTAACCCCCTAACCCCTAACCCCCACACCCCTTAACCCCGAAACCTCTTAAACCCTAAACCCCTAGACCCAAACCCCCCAACCCTAAACCCCATGGAGGCCCAGCGTCTCTCTGCCCCGCAGAGCCCGGTCTTATTGGCCGCTTCTGCGATGACTCCTAGGTTCCCCAGTAGCCCCTTGATAATAAGGGCACCCTTTTTCCTACTATTCGGTTTTAATAACGGAGCCCAAGAAGAAAAAGGGCAAAAGGGTACTACTGGGGAACCAAGACTCTGAGCTTCACGTTGTTGACCATCTTCGTGTCCTGCTTATAGGGTTTAGGGTTTAGGGTTGACGATCCGGGGTTCTGGGTTTCGGGACCATTTGCGTGGCCTCCTTATCGGGTTTTAAGGGTTTAGGGTTTAGGGACCATGTTCGTGTCCTGCTTATATAGAATCTACGTAGGGTTTAGGGGTTAGGGTTTCGGGTTTAGGGGCCATCTTCGTGTCCTGCTTATAACCTAGGGGTTGTACGGGTATTGCTTTAGGGGTTTAGGGTTTTATAACCATTAGAAAAAGGTTTATGTATGAGGTTTCACAGCGTTGATTGTTTCCAATGACAGTACCCATAGGCCCTAAAGTAGTTCCTTCTTGGGATTCCCTACTAGGATTCTAAATATGAACCCCAAAAGGGAACTACTTTAGGGCCTATGGGTAGCTCCGATAGCAGCTTTGGGTCAGGGGAGCCGAACCCTCTGCACATGCTCCGCACCAGAGAAACGGAAGCCGCAAAGATTTACACCGCAAGCGCACTAAGGTAGTGTAGGGGCCGTTGAATAATTAGAATAAGGTTTTGAGGTATACTAAACTATAATTTTATTAAGGAGCCCCCAAAGTCGTTTTGGTAATTATTGTTCATAGTCAGATTCGAGGGCACTTGACGGGCCACGTACACCCTTGAAACCGAAACTTAAGAACCCTTAGCCCGAATAACTCTAAGCGCTAGGCCATACAGTTTCATGCCCAAGCCATCAAACAATGAAAGGCTATAAGGACTCTGAGCAAGATGCTCTACTACCCATGTCCTCTGCATGAGCCTGTACGTGCAGGTTGATTGGTAGTATAAGTGCTTACGTTTAATAAGTGGACAACCACAATATTAGGGGACTTACAACTCCACTTATATGTACCCATGAACCTTCAAGTATGACCCCTTATAGAACCCTTAGAGGGCCCTGATAGATCCCTTAATTGAACCCTGATAGATCGCTTAAACCACCTCCAAGCATGGGATTTGGGGATTTAGGTTTAGGGTCCTTTTTGCTGTATGGACTTGAACGCTGACCTCGGTGCTTCAACAATTCATTGTTTGAAACGCTGGTGGTTTACAGCTTGGGGTTTAGGGTTTGATTTGGGTCTAGAGTCAGGATGAACTGTAAACTGAGGGGTTGAGACTTGGAAACCCTAAACCCTGAACCCTAAACCAACCCTAAACCCGGGCAAAGGGACATCTAGGTTCTGTTGTCTTTGCACCTGAATGAAGCCCCTGAGTTGGTCCCTGGAACCACACGATTAAGGAAAGGAACTAGCTAAGGGTTCAGGGGTACCGGCTGCATGACTTGAAGGTGCTGCTCCTGTGTCAAAGACTTGGTGTTGACATTGAGGCGGATGCACCTAGGTCACAACCACCCGCGCTCGCAAGGCACTCAACCCTAAACCCTAAACCGGTTAAGGGAACTGCTCCAAAGATTCTCGAGGCGGCGTCTTGAAATGCAAACTCTACGAAAGCAGCTGAAAGCAAAACAAAACCTTCTGAACCTGTCCCTAAGGGTTCAAAGGTCCTAATAATTAGGTATATGGTTTACGGATAGTAGTATTGTAGGTTAGTATTTGGGAGAATATTTGATTATGAGGTACTTGGACCCTTGGGGTGTGAGCAACGGATCCGTCCAAAGGTCTTACAACACACGTCAGAGATCAAAGTCCTGGGATATAACACATCGGCTTGAGTAATTAGAATAGGGTTTGGAGGGTGTACTACACTACTGGGAGGTTTATGGGTAGTTATAAGTAGGGTTATAAGTAGGGTAACTATAGTTATAACCTATATTTGGGGACTTCTCACTCCACTTCTAACTACCCATGAACCTCCTGAACCTCCAAGTATGGTTCTATCAGGAGCCTGTCAGGAATCCTTTCGGTTTCTATTGAAAACCGTGACCCTAAAACCGCTCTAGATGCCTTTGAAGGAACCCTTTCTTTAAAGGAAACTACGGGTGGGGAGTTTAGGGTTTATTAGGCTTATATAAGGCTTCCATGAGGTATATAGACCTTCTATAAGGCTCCTATAACGGTAACTACCCACCTGAAAATGTCCTAGATTTCAGTAACCCAGAAAAGCTTCTCAAGCCTCTTCAACAACGCGACCTGAGTAAAGCCTGAAGCTGGCCTTTACGTGGTTTGGGACCCTGAGCCCTAAACCAGAAACCCTAAACCCCTAGACCCTAAACCAAAAACCCTAAACCCTTAACCCCCCAAAGCCCTGACCCCTAAACCCCTAACCCCTAAACCCCTAAACCCCTAAACCCTGCAGGTATCAGCTTGAGATTTTACGGGCTTCAGGGTTTTACGGCTTAGGGGCTTGGGGTTTAGGGCTTTTGGGTTTTGGGGGTTAGGGGTCTAGGGTTTAGGGTTTCCCAGAGTCTCCATTGTATTTGCTGCTTTGGTTCTACCTTTTAGGATCCTAGACTGCAATGTCTGTGGTCCCAACGACTCCCAGAGCCACTAAGTTAGGAAGTATGCCTTACATCAACACATGGACCCCCCTCAAGTAGGAACCTGATTCAGAAAGCCCTGGGTTTTCCCAGTTTAGGGGTTTAGGGTTTAGGGCTCAGGGCCGCAATATGGGGGTTTCCGAAAATAGGGGACCCTGATATAGTACCCTAAATAATAGGATCCCTATTATAAGGACCCCAAAATAAGGTACCCTAATTTTCTGAAACTCCCATATAGGGGACTCATGGAAAGAACCCAAATGAAGATCCGGAGTCTCTCAACGAGGTTCCTACGTTACAATACGAAGTGCATTTCTTCTTTCAGGGGCTTTCGAGTCTCTGGGATGCAGACGATTATGAACATGTAGGCCGTCTAGGGTTTGGGGCTGGGGTGTGAAAAGAGGCCTTCATGGCTATAACATGTTTTGGGTTACCTTATACTATAACAAGAAGGAAGAGAATCAGAGGGTACTATTAAATTATTGAATATTCCGACGCTTATATAGCGTTCATCCGTTCACAGTTGGGTCGCCGGATCGGACGCTACACCCTAAAGCCAAAGCCGAGGCACTTGTCGTCGCTGACCTAGGTGCTGCCAGCGACATACCCCAACCCTAGCACAGATGAACCCCTCCACATCAGGAACCGTTAAGGTGCCCTTGTGGGCAAAGCTTTCAATAAACTACTTGGAGGTTCATGGGTAGTTATAAGTGGAGTTATAAGTCCCCTCATATAGGTTATAACTATAGTAACCCTACTTATAACTTATAACCCTACATATAACTACCCATGAACCTCCAAGTAAATACTTACCCTAAACCCTAACCCTAAACCCTAAACCGGAAAGAGTCTCAAAACCGTTTTGGTTCCCTGTGTGATGACTCCTATGCCCCAAAACCCAACCCCTGGACCGTCAGGTCGGAGATCCAATAAAAGGGTTTAGGGTTTAGGGTTTAGGGTTCCGGTTTAGGGTTTAGGGTTTAGGGTTTAGGGTTTAGGCAACCGAAGCACGTTTTTGCTTCTTTTTGCTGTTGCGGGCCTGAGCTCAGGTCTACATGTGTTAGATTGGGCAAGTTGACAATTCTTCTAAGGTTGGGACCCTAAACCCTCAAACCTAAACCCTAAACCCTAAACCCTGAACCCTAAACCCTAAACCCTAAGCCCTAAACCCTCAAACCTAAACCCCTAGTTCTGCTTGGGGACCGTGCTTTCGGAAGCTCCGGCCCAGAGACCCTACCATGAAGACTAAAGCCTAGTGTGCCACGGTTTAAGGTTTAGGGTTTAGGGTTTAGGGTTTAGGGTTTAGGGGCTTGAATAGATACTAAGACTAATATCTTCCCGAGGGTTTCCTCTGCAACAACATACCCCAGAGCAGTGTTCCACTTGCTATGGTCCTTATACTGAGCCCTGATGCAGCCCGTCTAGTAAGCACCATCGAAGGAACCCTATTGCAAGTAGCACGTCCCCTGTGTTCGGGAATTGTGCATGAAGCTTCTGCCAAGAACGAGAGTTGTCAGCGTAATAAGCAGTCATTGTAATAAGCAGATACTTCTGCTCATAGTGACAATCGTAACAAAAACGATAGTCCCAGCAGCGATGTTGACTCCTCGATCGGGGTCCTGGGCTTCGGAGATTCCCCGAACAGCCCACATAATAGAACAGCCTTAATGCCTAGAACAGGGTCTCCTTTAAGACTTACTTTATGGTTGCAAAGAGGGTTTGTACAATTTGGTATGAGGGCCTTCACACTGAGAACAAGGTTTAGGGTTTAGGGTTTTAGGGTTTAGGGTTTAGGGTTTAGGGTTTAGGGGATCATAGTATAAGTTTAGTAAGGACCCCTAAGGGACCGTCGCCAATTATTCCGACTTCTATAGTAATAGTACCCCTTTGTTTTAGGGGAAAGCCTAAGGGTCCATATACCTGTATGGTATATAATTTGGTCCGAAAGTACCTACATGGGGTAAATAAATAAGCATATACTTTGTGAACATGGACAATGTGCCAATGGGTATTTGCCTGTTTGGCTTCGTGTTCCCTCGGATGCATTGCACAACCCTCGTTGCTGAGGACTTTCGGAGCGTTTTGGGATTTTAGGTTAGATGCCCTCGCTTGGCAAGGATATTTTTCTTACGTATACACATTCGCCAACGTTTTGGCTCGGAAACCTTGCTACAGACTCTACTGTATACTCTTTGCAGACTCTACTATATATTCTTTGCCACCTGAACCGCCAACCACAATCCTAAACCCTAAACCCTAGACCGATGCTCTTGTCCCTGCGTGCACCTGGAATGACCGGAAGACCGTCGACTGTCAAGCTCAAGCTTTCGCAGGGCTATGCTAACAACGTGAGATTTAGGGCTTAGGGGCTTGGGGTTTAGGGGTTAGGGTAATAACCAAAAACATACAAAAACATAAGCAAACATACACTCCAAAAAACAACATCCATAGCGATAAAGATGGGTGTTAGTAAAAACCAACGATTCCGGCGACACTAATTATAACAGTAGTGACTTGACAACATTGATACCTGCACTTCAAGGCGGCTGAGATGCCTCCATGACCGCACCTGCTGGATCCTGAGATAAAGGTGTCGTGTCAGTGTTCATGATCGCCGGTCCAGTCACATACCTGGAGGCAGGGTCTGGGGTGGCGGTTGCTGATTGACAAGCTCGGGGCTTTGGATGTCTCTGTGTGTGTATGTACACAACCAATATAAACATATATATATATACACATACATATATATATATATATACACATATGTATATATATATATGCATGCTTACATATATGCGCTTACACATCTATATCTATATAAATATCAAACAGAACAACATAAAACAGATATGCCTATCAGTAGAAATGAAACATAAATAAAGCTATATATAGATATATGTACGTATATATATATATATGTGTAAAATACGCACACATATACAACAATCACCATATCATATTACCCTGGAAAATTATGATAGAGAGAGGGGTGTACACATACATTTACATGAACATATACACATTATAAATCTGTACATGTATATACATATATGTACATATACATATATATATATATATTATGTATATGTGTATACTCGTATACCTTTACGTGCATACGTACTTACTTACTTGCATAGATTCATACATACACTCATGCAGTATGTATGTAAAAAAAGCTCCTCTCACACACACACACACGTGCGTACTCATACATACATATATGCATGCATATTTCTGTACGTCTCTGTGCTTACAAACACACTCACATATATATATATATATATGTATATATATATATATGCATAAACATATGTATACATACAAACAACAAACGAAGCAAACCAACACAAACAGACAAATACACGTCCATGCTTGCATGCATATGTCTAATAAGTAAATATACATATATATATATATATATATGTATATATGTATGATATATTACCGACAGGCTGTGGGTGGTTGTGTTCAATGTTAAGACGGGGCTCCTGAGCTTTAGAGTGATCCCGCTGCATTCGGCATGTGGTGGGTTCAGGGTTTGGGATCTGTGTCGCACGTGGGCTCCCGGATTTTGTATCCCTAAACCCTAAACCCCTTTCCCCTAAACCCTAAACCCTAAACCCTAAACCCTAAACCCCTTTCCCCTAAACCCCGAATGAGCTTCCATGTCTGCCCCCATCTGAGAACCCTAAAATTTGGCCCTAAAAGCCCCAAGCCCTAAGCCCTAAACCACAAAAGCCCCAAAGTAAAATTTAGGGTTTAGGGTTTAGGGTTTAGGGCCCAAAGTAAAAGCCTAAACCCCTAAGATGCAAAAAATATCTGGCCAGGGTGCATGACAGAGCCCTCGTTCATCTTGACAGCAATAGCTATGGGGACCTGGTCCGGTCGGCTTTTGAGATGGGGCATGAAGTTTCGGCTTTGGAGTGAAGGGTTTAGGGTTTAGGGTTTACGGTTTAGAGTGAAGGGTTTAGGGTTTAGGGTTTAGGGTTTAGGTGAAGGGTTTAGGGTTTAGGGTTTAGTCCAGGAATTAGCAAGAAGGTCCTGAACAGTTGGCGCCAGGCTTGTATCGCAACCTTGTGCTGCAACCTACATTGCAATTATAAAACAGAGTCTCCGTGTCAATTCTTCTGGGCTGAACACACAAAGAGACAGAGCAAGCTTTAGCACCCTGGCAGGAAACTCCATGAACCAACATGCCAATTCAGAAAACCCAAACCCACAACCCTCAAACATGAACTTGGTAACCAAGCTCCTGCATCCTAAAAACTGAAGGTCCTGTATTGTGATCCTGAGACATGCAGTCCGAATCTCCGACTCTAGAAGTCTGTCTCCAGGCCCCAGGTGAACACCAAGCCCAAAACCCCAAACCCGAAACCCCTAAACCCCTAGAAAGCTCTATATAAGGGTTCCGGGATCCTGCGTCGCCAGGCAACCCTCTTGAACTCTGTATACCCTGCAAGACTTAAATCCTGTAAAACCTTCCTTTCTAGGTTCCTTATTCTGACTTCTTTATACAAGTCCTTAAAAGGGCAGGTTCTTCGGAGTGCAGGTAAATCCTCTAAAATCTCCTTGGCCTCGGGGGGTCTGGAAGTAAAGCACGTATAGAGCTGCAACACCTCATCACCATAATAGTGGGGCCTGAAAAATTAGAATAGGGTTTTGGGGTCCATTTTACCAAGGCACTCCCCAAAATAGTATAGCTAATTATTTAAGCCCCTATACAGTATTACTTACAACCTTGCCTCCTACGCCCCCTGATCCTGCAGATACACCCTTAAAGCAGGCCACAAGCCCTGAAAACCCTACTACAAGCCTGAGATTGGCTATAAACCCTAATTAGGCCCGGACATCCCTAGTAAATATGAACTCAACCCTAAGCCCTGGAACCCTTATCTAAGCTTCAACGATCCCTTGTCCTAAACCCTAAACCCTAAACCCTAAACCCTTTGAGGAACCGAGGGTCTGCGTTGCCATGGCCCCCGTAGTCGCAGTGAAACGCTTGCAGCTCGAAGTCTCCCCCGCACTCTGTCGAGGAGGCGTATCGATAGGCTCCGAGACCTGGCATCGTGGGTTCTGAAATATAGGGGTTTAGGGTTCTAGGTTTGGGGGTTCAGGGGTTGAGGGTTTAGGAGTTTAGGGTTTAAGGTTTAGGGCTTTAGGGCCCCTGAACCCCTAAGCCTCAAACCTTAAGCTCCTAAACCCTCAACAGTTTAGGGGTCTAGGTTTAGGGTTCGGGGTTTCCGTGGTCGAGGGATTTCCGGGTTCAGGAAAGCTTTCACTGACCAGGATCCTGGGTTCTTCAGCAGGAGTTTAGGGTGTACTATAGGAGCGTTAATAATTACCTATACTATTTTGGGGTTCCTTATTATAAATGTAGTATAAAGGGTCCCAAACACCATTCAAGTTCATGAGGCCCCTACACTAAGGCTTGGAACCTTGGGTTTAGAGTTTAGATTTATGCTTGAAGGGATGCTAGGGTTTAGGGTTTGGGCTTCTTGCTTATTGGTCTGCTTAGGGTTTTATAGCCACGTGCTGGGTGTTCTTTTCAGGTTGTCTTAATGGAGTTTATACATTACAATGGATGTGTGGGGTTTCGTCCTCTTCTGTTGCTGCGAAGAATATGTGTGTATATATATATATATAGGGTTGATATGGCTGTTTGCCAGCTTGCAAAAAAGAGGTGTTAGATCGTAATAACTGTAAACAACTTGGGGTAGGCAAGGGTCTGGGATTCACAATGTTTGGGTTTAGGACCTCCTAGTTTAGGATGTAATAAAGTATATGAGGTTCGTAAGCGTAGTGTGGATTACAGTAGCTTCTACCTGAAGTATGAGTTGAGAAACAACCTGGGTCCTTGAACAGGTCCTTAACCCTAAACCCTAAACTAAACCCCTAAACCCCTAAACCCTCAACCCCTAAACCCTAAACCCCTAAAACCCTAAACTGGTCCTTCAAGTAGGATTTTGGATCTATGGTGGTTCTGACGGCTCTGGGTAGAAGGGGACGCAGAGCAAGGACGCTCTCAACTTTTGGGCCGGGGTTTTGGGGTTTAGGGTTTAGGGTTTAGGGATTCAGGGGTTTAGGGTTTTGGGATTTAGGGTTTCGGGATTTAGGGGTTGGGGTTTGGGGTTTCGGATTTAGGCATTTAGGGTTTAGGGGTTTAAGGGTTTTTGGGGGTTCTCTGCCAGTAGTAGGTTTTCTGGGTTCTACAATATCATAGGGGTTTAGGGTTTAGGGAGTTTTGGGTTTATGCAAGCAGTCAGCAGACATTCCGAGCGAGAGCGACGCCTGGATCC